GCGGATAGCATTTGTATCGTAGATCTCGCAGTAGAAGCTGTTGATTCGAAATATATTTCTTCTGTAGTGTAAGCTGATGGTTGTTTTAGTTGATGGACTTTTATAAATTAGCAATAATCGTTATGTTTTAAATAAATATTTAGAATTTTTTGTCAACTGAGGAATGAATTCAGTAGAGTTTTACGTTTCATGTTGCAACTAGAACGATAGATATTAAATAGAAATTAGGTTAAACCATTTAAAAATCAGTGAATTTTGGAGAAGTCGTATTGATGCTGTGAACGCATAAAGAGATAATAAACTAGCTTATCATATCAAGCTATGTCTAAATTTCGGCTACACACAGCGTACAATATCATACAGATGGCAGTTTATTGATATTAGTGGTAGAAATTTGGGTGATATACATAAATGCAATGATAGTTTTGTTAAAGAATACTACTCAAATTATGATTCTGTAAATTTTCATGTTCACTGTGAGAAAATACATCATTAAAAATCTTTTGTCTATTTTGTAAATTAATTTAAATAATTTTCACAAAATTTCTTTTGTAAAAAAAATGAATCGCAGTTGTCACCAAATTTGTGTCGTCGAAATCGATATATACGTGCTGATTGTAATTCTTTACAATCTTCTACAGCTGTATCAAGATATGCGTTGATATCAAATTCTTTTGGACATAGAATATTAAAACCTCGTTGTTGGTATTTGACTAAACGTTGAGCTTTTCTGATGAATTCAGATGCAGAAATTGGAACATCGTAACATGTTGTATGACCTGAATTTAACGCTTGCAAACAACTAAAAGAGATGATTACTTCTTTAGAGTTGAATGCTGCAGCACATATATCAAGATCAAATGAATGAATAATTCGTGAGATACTGGTGGGTGTAGTTGTTGGACGAATAAGTTGTATAACAACTGATGGAATAAAAGTTTTGCCGTTAATAATATCTTTTATACTGCAATTTCGAAATAAGTCAAATTGAATTAATCTATTCGCCCAAATTGTTTTACGTCGAACAAAATACTTGTTTTGTAATCGTGTCTCTAATTGATCCTACAAAACACATAACACAAACAGATCCAGATTCTCGGAAATAGTTAATCAAAGTGAATAATCTGTATATTCTATATGGATAAATATACTATTTGTATCCTGTATGTTTTGAATAACTGAAATTCTATTTAAGTGAAGCATTCTTGTAAATTTTATGCTATTGGCGAATTAGATGAAGAAAGGAAGGTTTATTATTAGAATTGTTTTTGTGTAGTTTTTTCGCCTATCGATGATTTCTGGTAATTCTGTGCTATGCTCCTTTTGCTTAGTGTATATATTTATTTTAAAAGATTATGTTTGAAATCAAATAGATTATAGTTTACTGCTGCGGAAGATGGTTTAAAAGTTTGGTCAATAGCTAATTATCATCATAGCGTTAGCATGGAAATGAAGTCCGACTGAATATTAATGATAATACATAAATAACGACTAAGGATTTGTAAGCATACATATTTACAGAGTAAAAGAAATTGTAAAAATGGTTAATCGATATTTTCTATGGGAAATATTGTATACCTTTTGTTTCATGTTATAAACTTCATTTAAACTCTTACCACGGCTTCTTTAAAAAGTTGCGAATTTTGTTTGACAAAAAATAAATCGACATCAGATCCTTTTTCTTGTGGAGCTTGAGCCAACATCGATAAAACGACTGAACCACCAGCAACTACGAATAAGTCCCAATTGATAGCATCTGTCCAAAAATCATATTCATATCGATCAATAAAATTTCGAAGAAATTGTGCAAAATTGGTAACGATTTGTGGTTGTGAACAATTTTTGCCCAATACTTTGAATAAAGCAAGTTCATCGATTGATAATGAACGTGATTGCAGGAGATCTAGTTAAAGATAAAATGAATAAATTGATTTCTTGAAATAGAAAGATATATATATATGCAATTTCTTTTTTTTATGAGCTTTAGTGTTACAATACTCTTATCACTATTCTTCTCTCTATATTTTTATGAAAATTTATTCTCTTTTCTTTAGAGTTCTGATATTTTGGAAAAACAAAATCAGTTTGGTGGGATGAATAAGTAACAAATTGCTCATTAAAATAGTAATTTTCATACATGGATAATTGAAAATATTCAAAGTCGGATAAGATGGTTCGTAATAGAATGGCGTAAATGACCACAGTCGAGTATATAAGAAAAATACAGATGTTGAAAAATATTTCAATGATTTTTGTGTCGCATGCATTGTGAATGGTCCGTATATCGTATTACTCCATTTACATGGTGACAATTGAACACCAACATAATTTTCAAAAATCATGTAGGGTGACTTGTACATGGCAATTAATTCATTTATTTCTTTAATTAATAAAATGTTAGTTTGTCGACTAAGTAATCGTATTAAATGGTGGTTGCTAATACCAAGATAATAATAATTAATCAATGTGAAGTGAAAAAGATCATCTCCAGATAATTCTTCACTTAATCGATCAATCATTTCTGATGGTAAAACAGGTATATATGGTGTAGTCATATTAAGATATAGATATAATTAAGAATATAATAATCAAAAACAATTAAATTATTTAATGAACTGATAAAACGAAAGTAATAAAAATATATTTGAATACTATTTCCCGCTCAACTATGTTTGAAGAATAAATTCGAAGATCGTTTACTGATTCTTTTCAAATGTGAAGTCGAACTAGTGATATACATTACCGAACTGTTACAAAACACATATGCTGGTTATTTCAGATGATGGTTATTCATTTGAATGATCGTGAAAAAGACTAATTATAACAATAAAAATAACGTTGACCAAACAAAGTATACTCACCTCTATACATTTGAGACATTTCATTAGAGATGTGATTTTACCTTTGTTTTCCAAGTATACATTTTACATTAAATATTATAAAATGATGTGCAGGGTGATTAGGAGATTTCATTTGGGTTGCGATTTAGCAACAGACAATCTATATTTTTGCGAAAGCATCATATTACAAGAAAGCAGAATCATTTATATTATCGTAGCATAGTACTAGAAATGATTTGGAATTGATTCTATCATCCATATTATTATGATTGGATAATATTTTCTGATAAATAATTCTATTAATCAATAGTCGCATTGTTTGAACAAAAATGGTAATGCTTTATTTTCTGATCATGAGCAAATGAATGTGTCATGTTTGATTGAAATAAATAATAAAAACAATAAAAATAACTAAATCTCTTTAAACAAAGATCAAATCGAAAGATTACATTTCTATTTATTCATATGGCTTATATCATTCTGTTCATGTGGAGACGAATACAAAATGTTAACGTTTCTGGCATTATATTGAATGTTGAGAACCTAAATGCTAGGGATGAATCGTGTTACGATTTATTATTTAATTATGGTTTAAGAATATATAATTATAGTTAATTACAATTTATAAAAACAACTAAACGATAGTTATCTTTATATGAAAAATCGGAAAATAGATGATTGACATAAATTCATTGACATGTTTTAAATCGTGCCAACTGGTATTTCATCAAAGACTGTCAAAATACAATAGAGATGAACTATAGTACTTTCTTTCAGTGCATAATTCATTTTCGAAGCACATTTAACAGAACAACAAATTGTCTATGTCAAATGTTTTTTTTTACTACATACACGCAATCATAATGTTTAGAATAATTCAAAATATAATTATTTGTCAATTCAGCGTTTTAACATGTATCCTGTTGTATCGGAAAAGACAAATCATAGAGTGTTTAAGAAACATTGTTTTTTGTGCTGTTTTAATCTGAGTAGAAACTAATCTATAAATTATAATTCATGTATTTATACAGAAGCGTTTCTATGATTGTATTTTTTCTCTACTGTTAAAAGACTAGTTGTTAAGTGTCATTTATTGAAATTTCTAAATGTTAACGAGAGCTTCACGATCCGCTGGTGCATCTGGTAGAGCCCAAAGTCTTGTTTTAATATTATCTGTAGTAATTTCATCTTCTATAGCATCGGAAATATATTGTACGGTAACGTAAATATTGGAACCATGTTCGAGAAGGCTTTTGAGAAAGTTTAATATATTATCACGATGAATAGGTTCATGATACGTTGGATTCTTGGAATCTATCTTGAAAAAATAATCTTCTGTTAAACGGAAACGACGTAAACAATAATAATGGTAATTTTGTTGAATAAGGAATGCTTGAACATGTTTAATATGAGATAGAATCAGACTGTTCGGCTGTAATGTACCAATTTGTATAAGATCAATGTTAAAGATATTCATAAGAGCGGCTTTTAGCACTTGAATATCATATTCTCCGGTGTTTTCATAATAATATTCGGTCAATTGTATTGCTTCTCCATGTCGATTTATTTGTTCAGTTGCTGCTATGTTTTGAGCGACTTCTTTCAAGTAATCGTCATCGAATAGATCAAGTGTTTGTGAAAGAGCTCGAAGAACATGTCGTCCACAAAACAGTTGTTCCTGTCTCTCACAGATAATCAGATGTTCAGGTTTTCTTGTAGCTTCTGCTACATCTAAATTTGAAGTTTGATATGTTACACGTTTGAGATGACGACGTTTTGATGATGGTTCTGTATCCGTATTTGATGATTTTAATGAAAGTTGATCGTCTTCACATAAGTTTGGAAGACACCAATCAATATATCTCTATAATAATGTGCAAAACTTAGAAAACTCAATACTACAATCAATTAACCTCAGTTGCCAAATAATGTTCAATTTTAATCGGATAGTTTTTTTCTATCATTTCAAGACGACGCATTTCATCCATTGCAGGTTTGGATACCTACAAGACTAATATATACTGAGGGTTCTATTCATCAAAAAACAAGTCACTTTGAAAGATTTTCGATCATATGCCAAGATGATAATATCAGTCAATTTTCGTGTACGACTCAAAATTGTATAAAACATACCGGGCTTCCAATTGATACCGGTCAGGTCAACAACTAATTTATTGTATGTCATGCACTGTGAACGGTGAACTGTTATTGCATAACCGAGACTAAGTGGAAATTGTCGTCGTGCCATCCAAATTCCATTTTTATCTTTGAAACTAACTTCGTCAGGAAGCATTTTATAAATTGAACCATTATCTAATTCTTTTATTAAAAAAGATGCTACTAAATTAGTTAAAGATTCTATCTTTTTTTTTACCAAGCTCAATCTGTTTTGGTAATGTTACTGTCATTGCTCGATCTAGATTTGGGAATATGCATCGGTTAGACGTTGGTAATATAATATTATCCTTGTCATCCCATACTATATCTTTCACCGTTGCCTCAGTCCCGTTCACCATTCCACCGTCAAAATCAATATTACGTCGACAAATTACACGAGCTCCAATACAAAGGGGCAGCTGTTCAAACATAGATCCACATTCGTTTTCATCATCGGAAGGTTTCAATTGTATTTTACATCCCTTTTTACTTGCTTTAACAGGATTAAAAAATGATGTTCGAGCCATACCAACTTTCTATAAATACGTATTATAGAGAAGATATTTATTTTTGAATTTAAACTAACATCAATTGATTGAATAATCCAAATTGGTTTTTTCATTTTCGTTGCAGTTTCTTTCAATTTAATAGAGTTTCTCTCATTTGTTTTAGAGCGTATACTATATGCGTATATCGCATTCGCAAAATCAGGTGAATGTAGCTCGGCTAGTCGATCTTTATAATGTATTGAATTATCTTCTTTTCTAATACTTCTACTTTTTATTATTATTTCATCATCTTGATTATATTCACCTGATGTATATCCTATTATGCTTATTGTTAGAATCAAAATGAAACATACCTAATCTCATCCGAGAAAGAATATCAAAAAATTGCCTATCTTCACCTTGTCGCATGTTTATATTAAAATTAATGGGTCGAAATAAATCACCCCAAAGAGAGAATGTTTCACCAGGAGCTCGCCAAAAAATTTGTTTAGCAGCAACTGGTTCACATTGTGCAAGATCTCCAAATAATAAAACTGGAATATTTCCGAAATAAACACCACTTTTATCGGATACTTCAAATATTTCGTTTAACCGTTTGTTCACCTTTTGAAAAAGACTATGTGAGACAAGTGAGATTTCATCAATAATTATTAAAATTAAATCACCAAGTCTATTTCGAAGAGAATGAATTTTAAATGAAGGAGCATTGTTTGGTGTGGATGTATTATCTGGACGCTAAATATTAATCATACAATTATTTTATAATATGAAATAGATTGAAATTTTACCATTCCTAAAGCACTATGAATAGTCCAACCAAGAATATTTAAAGCAGCTTTTCCTGTATGAGCTAACTTCAATAAACCTTTTCTTCTTCGTGGACGATTGCGAATAGCTGATTCACTAATACAAAAATCGCTCAACATTTCTTCAATAATAGAAATTACATAAGATTTTCCAGAACCAGCTAAACCATTAACTACTATATGAAACGGAAGTGGTTTTGATGAATGTTTGAATCTTCTCCGACGTTCTTCAAATCGCATAATGGCTGCTAGATATTGTCTAAAAAAAATTGGTTAAAAAACGTTGTTGTTCATTTGCTAATTTTAATAATTGTTCAGTTCGTGTAGATGCTGAATTAATTCCAACATGTTCATTTTGAGATAGATGTTCTTCATCATTTTCGTCGATGCTTTCTGATTCAGTATTTACATTTAAATCTGGTTCACAGTTAATATTAATTCTATCATTGATTCTATTATTATTTTCATTGATTTCATTTTCTATATCTTCGTCATCTTCTCCTGTAAATATAAATGATGTTCTGGGTTTAATAATAAAATCATGACTATTTAAATCGCATAAATGTTCAAGTGCATTAAGCATTTGTACTTTATAAGCACCAGGCAATGCCGAAAATTGCTTAATTAATGTGGTTTGATTTTTTAATAGTAATTGATGAATAGCTTTTACATCATTTTCTACATTATACATGTATAAAATGAGTATGAATGTTTTATTGAAACTTATCAAAAAATATACCCTGTTTACCAGCAAGAAATTCTTCAGCTGGATCTCGATATGGTATTGCAATGGAGAGAATTGAATAGATAGCTAACATTGAATCATCATAACGGCAGGTAAAACTAATACAAGCTGGTTCTTTATGTTGAATTAACACTGTGCCACATGATAAAACGATTCGTGGAAGTAAAGCTGATGTTTTAAGTAGAGGTGGTTGCTCAAAACCATTACGCCAAAGAGGATTTTCTACTAGTGGTTCTTCCAAGATTTGTGGTATCTTTCCGGAAGATGACCGATCAAAATCAAACCAAGTTAAAAATTCAAACAAAGTCATTTGATTAATAATAGATGGAGTAGATGGTCTTCTCACATATCGATGTGTTAGTGATTCAACAAAATCATCTGCACTATTTACTTCCGTTCTTCCTCGTTTAAGTAATCTTTCTTCGTCCCAAGGTAACGAAATATATAAACTTTTAGATCTCATTGAGGAATGATATAGAGGAATACCTATAATTTCGATACGATACATAAGTTTTGGAACAATATATTGATATACCTAATACAGTCCATGATGCTTCAACTTTACCAACTTGACGATGAGATAGTACAGCATTTCCTGTTTTTAAAAGAATACTCTTCGCTTCTTTTAAGCTTGTACAAGTACAATTTGATATTTGGTATACCAGATTTTTCTCCATATGAGCATTTTTTGCTACATAAGAAAACAAATATTCAGCTGATGCCCATGCATCCGTAATTATTTGAATATCATGATTACAACGAAAAGTTTTTAAAAAATTCATGTTATAGGGAATGATACGTCTCGACTATAATTAAAAAACTAGTCGGTAAAATCAAAATATAAAATTGAATACCTCTTCAGTTAATCTTTTTATAATAATATCTCGATCACCTCTTGTTAATATACGTGCTTCTTTGTAAGTACGAAAATGAGTTTCAGTCGCCAAGTCGAATGGGCTACCAAATCGACACTTTAATCGTTCAAAAAATTCCTTTTTTGCTTTTATTATTTCTAGAAGTTCACGATGTGTATCTGGATCTATTTTCTCATATATTTCATTTTCATTTAAATAATTTTTATTAAAATCTTTCAAATGATTAGCTTCAGTAATTTTCGATGATTCTTCATCTTTAAATTTACGTCCTCGTCGAATACGAACAGTAGCAACACCTATATCAAGTATAATTTTACATCTATTTCTTTACCCAAGAATTCACGAACCTTTTGTACATGTAAATGTGTGAAAATGTGTTTGTTTTTTTTTCACGAGTGAATAACCTATAGGATCTATTTCTTTGTCTGATATTGATGTAGTAAGAAATTTATCGATGAATTCAATAAGTTTTTGACGTCCTTCGGCACTGTCAACCGATGGAAAATTATCAAGCCAAAGCAGAGTGTGTAAATGAGGTAATCCACCACGTTGAAATTCAATCTTGAAAAAATAATTTGTAACAACATAATCAATAAAGAATGGATGTTTTTTGTCACTAATAAACTTTTCAAATGCTAGCATTCGTCGATGACACATACGCGCTACAAGTGCGCTGTGTTCATTGACGAGCTGCAAATAATCATCATCTGAAAGGGTATCAATAGCATTATAATTTGGAGATTCCACATGTCCAAATAGTTTTGGATCAATATGCGTGAGAAATTCTACATCATCTTGTAAATTAACACTTAGAAATATATTAGGCTTCGACACCGTTGCATACATAGCACGTAAGTGTTTTCGTGGTACTGACCAAAATGCAGCGGTACCTCGAATAGCCTTTCCAATCGCTAAAATTAATAAATACATGCAGCTTTTACTTATTAAGTTTTATGTGTTATAATTTCAATCATTAGGGTTTTTATGTTTTATATTTGAATTCATTTTAATTATTGAAAATGTATCAATTTTTGTGCTTACCGGGATATATATTATAGCATAAACGATCTTTGTTGAATTTTTTTTTGGCATGATAGTTTACGGCTGTGCATAAATCATCTCTTTGGATTAAATTCATTGCTCGAAATGTCCAGATGGAATCAGATTGCCATCTTTTATCAGCGCACATTAATCGTAATTTGCAATAATCACGAAGCTTCAATGGAATAGGTCTTTTTGCATCTAATTCTCCACCGTCTCCTGTTGGATAAATCCATGGAAATGTAGATTCTTCCATTCCACATTCAATTTTCCAAACAGGATCTTCAGCAGCTTTTAACGTACGACTTTATAAAACAAATTAAATATTTAGTTTGACAATATTTTCAAATTATCGATACCTAGGTCCTAGAAAATCTTCATTATCATCAAGAATAATGGGCGCAGATGTTGTACAAT